AATCGATTGACGGCAAAACGTGCCCTGCGCCACAACGCTAGCGCATACATCGTTCAGCAGATTTTCCCCAATCATTCTGGCTGATATAGCGGCACTTGGATTTGGAAAACGACATTTTAATTTCGGACGGTACTTTACACGAAGCGTTTACAATACACGAAATTTATTTTTTTCAAAAACCGGTACAAATGTTTTCTTTAACATTTCTCCCATGCGTAATAAGGGACAATAAAAAATATAATGCTAATCCAATTTTCGTGTATTGCTCTTTTTTTTTAAATTGCAAAAAAAAAATCAAAACTTCGAAATTGAAGATATTTGCCTCAAAGTTGTACAAAATTAGCTCTTTAAAAAATTTCATGTATCATTTTTAGTAAAAAATAGTAATTTTTGCGTTATTTGTTTGTAATTAATTAATCATTACACAGATTTAGACGGTTTTGGGGCTGAAAGCAGCTTTGAAGGTAACTTTTGGCGCTGATTACGAATCCTAAGTCCAGTTTCGGCTCTCAGGTCAGGTATTTTAGATAAATATGTGAACCATGTTTTGCAATTTTCAACCAAAAAGTTTTACTTTGTTAGGAAGTACATGAAAAATCAGAGATAAAGTGCAGTAAAACTAAGTCGTTTGTAATTTTTTAGGTCCGTCTCACGTATAAGCTAACAGTAATCGGCACAATTAACAATAATCGCTCAGTATTCCTACGTTCCAAAAATCCATAAATCTTTCTCGATTCTTTGTAAATCTTTGTGTAGTCGTTCCCCTTGCTCATCGCTAGTTTCGCCTAAGTCGTTAGGGAAGAAATCCAGATGGGAATAAAGAAAATTTATTTATGTATTTACGTAAAAAACAGTTAAAAACTGTGTGTGACGTGCTATGGGGAGACGTTAAACTGAAGTTACATTTATTTCCAGAAGCAAAACAAGCGGCCATCTCAACATTTGCTTAAAGATCAGGGAAACTGGACGAAAACCTTATCGAGATGGGGGTCTTTGACCCAGAAGCTGAGGTACAATACTTGTTGCAGGTTCTTTAGAACTACACAATCCAAATGGTAAATAATACATTAAATGTCATTGTTAAAATTAATATTACTTTCCTTTTGGATGCTCGGTATAGTCTCTAATTGTACAGAAACAGTTGTGTAGCAGAAGAGATTTCACTTGGGACTTAAACTTTTGTATCGAATTTAATCGTTTAATGTCATCTGCCAAGGTGTTGTAAAATATTGTACATGTATTGCATAAGAACTTTTGTAGTGAGCTGTTGAAATATTCACCTGATAAATATGATTACTACGTCGAGTGTTGTAGTTACAGACACCGACATTTGCTAAAAATATATTCCCGCCCGTAAGTAATTTCTGACAAAAATCACAGATTCATAAATCAAGAAACAAGGTAAATGGTCAAATACCTACATTAATGAAGAGAGGCTTACAAGAATCACGTGGGTGGGATTTGATTATTATTCGTACAATTCTTTTTTGAAATCTAAAATTCTGGGAACTATAAGATGTATTTCCCCAGAATAATATGGTGTTGTGTGCTTTCTGGGCATGCATTGCTGCTCTTCCCAGGTTGGGTAAGTAGTTGCCTTCGGTGTGTAGGTGGGAAAATGTGGGTGGGGGATGTGGGAAAGGAATCTCTCACCACCCCAGACGAGCTGTTGTTCGGAGAAATGGGGTGAGAGGGGGAGAGCGAGAAGAGAGGGAAAAGACAGAAATATTTAAAGGGTTATTTTATTGAGGGTGTGGTTGTTTCAGGTTGTGTTGATATCAGTTTCGATGGGTGAGTGGGATCGTTATGTGCTGGGCGGTGGTAGATGTAGGATGTCAAATGGGTGGTGAAATATTCTTGTGTGGACGGGGGTTTTGTAAGAACTGATTAGTGCTGTCGGGTTTGTATGAAGGGAACGAATTTGTCATTTTTAAAGCTGAGTTTATTCGTAGTTTTGCGGTTTCGTAAATGTCTTTGCCAATGGCTGTCATTTTAAGTTGTTGTCTGATTCTATTCTAGTTTGTCATTGGCGGTGGTCTGAAGGCTAGTCGGAGAAATCTATTTTCTGTTTTAATAAGTTTTTTGTATGTATAGTTGGCGGTTGTTGCCCGTGTCTCACAGTTGTAAGTTAGGATCGGTTTGATGTAAGTATTGTTTATGTAGAGTTTTGTCTTAGTCTGCGTGAAGGGGTGTGTCAGTATTGGCGTCAGTGAGTTTAGGCGTGTTGGCTTTTTGAGTTATGTCGTTTACGTGTTGATTCCAAAGAAGTTTGTTGTTGAGTGTCACGCCGAGATATTTTGTGTCATTGGTCCAGTTGATGGGGGTGTTGTCGATAGTTAGAGGAGGTGGGGTCTGGTGAGTCTTGTAGGTAGTGCCTCTATTGAAGAAGATGGCCTGGCTTTTGTTGGGGTTGATTCTGAGGTTGTTGTCTTTTGCCCATTCGGCGATTCGGTCTAAGTCATGTTGGAGTATGTGTACAGAGTTGGGAAGTTTGTATTTTGTCACAGTTAGAGCAGTGTCGTCAGCGTATATGTAGTCGTTCGTCTTTGAAGATGTCGGCAAGTCATTGGTGTACAGTGAGAAGAGGACGGGTGAAAGGACTGCTCCTTGCGGTACGCCGGCGAGTATGGGTCTGGAAGTGGAGAAAGAATTAAGATGGTTGATATAGAACGTTTTGTTGGTTAAGTAGTTTTGAAGAAGTGGGAGGAGAAAGTGGGGGATGTGAGGGCTGATTTTGTAGATGAGTGAGTCATGAAGTACGGTGTCGAAGGCAGTGGAAAAGTCAAGGAAAATGGCTAAAACCGGATGTTTTGTTCGCTCCTGGAGTCTTGTCGCAATGTCGGCAGTGATGCGTAACGTTTGTAGTCCAGAATGTCTCTCAGCCCGAAAGCCAAATTGCGTTGGTCTGAGTCGTTCGTCTAGTATTGGTGAAATTTTGCGGAGGATGATGCGTTCGAGAACTTTTCCTAAAATGGGTAGGAAGCTGATGAGTCGGTAGTTGTCGAGGTTGTGGAGGGGTTTGTTGGGCTTGGGGATCATTTTAATTTTCCCCAGAATAATATGCCATATCTTACGCGGGAATGAACATTCGCGAAATATACACAAGCAGTATGAAGGCTGGCTGAATTTGAAAGAATTCTGAAAGCGTAGCATAAAGAACATAATTTAATGTTCAATTTATTTAAATGGACGATCCTTTTAAGGTTTGACCGAGTTGAAAGACCTAAAAATTTGTGTTATCTTAACATCAGTCAATGGCACACCATTTTCAATGGAGTGTTTATTTGAAACGGAATACTGCATTGAAACCGTTTTCTTTTCGTTTACTATTAATTTGTTGTTATGGGAATAATTTCAAATATCTGATATTGTACTATTTACAGTTTCAGATTTGCGACAATGAGCTTATCACTATTACCAAGGAAGTTTCAAACAACATTCTTGAATGACTTCCATGCTGCTGCTTCCGTAGCCGATAAACATTTGGTGAAGTTGTCGTACATCAATATTCTAATATCTGGACCGTCCAAAACACCTGCTTTGATTTTGGTGCAGGAAATTATGGGAAAGAGCTTTATCAGATTTTGAAAACCCGGTCCATCTCGGACAAGGGCCTTTAAGATTTTTTTTATAACGCCAACGTGTAAAGGTTAAAGTAACACACGAGTTGGATGAACAAGAGAAGTAGCAGACTGTTGTCCTGGTATATACTGGCTTCGACACTGATGAAACTTCGGAATATTTCAATGTCTAAAACTTTTAGAATTTATATCGACCACGTTCGTCAAACAAAGTAAGTATCATTCGTGTGGTTCTGAGGTTCTCTCCATAGCATCCGCGATAAAAATTGAAAATACGAGTAGAATCTCTCGTCCCTCGACAATTTGTACAACTAGGTTCGACACCAGAACAGAACAATTTCGTTACCCTGGCTGTTTTATGTCATTGAGACTGAATCTTAAGTGGAGATGGAGATATGCATTCTTCGAAAAATCTGTTACGCCTCTTCCCTTTTTGCCAACGATACATCCGCCACAAACAACAAAAATATCCTGCACTGATTTTACACTTTTTTTTTTTAATTTTCACTTAGCTTTGATTTAGAGCCATAAAAATACGAATGATCATGATATTAGCAGTCAGCAGATGTGAGACTCAATACTGTTAACATGAGGAATCAACGAAACCTGACCTGATGACGGGAAGAGAGCTACGGATTTGAATTCTACGCGCGAAAATACTTCAGAAAACACTCGTGTTGTCTCTGGTCCAAAAATGTACTTAAATTTGTAAACCTGTGTTATGGGCGTCCTGTCGTATATAATAAAAACATTGTAATATTGCGAGAAAGTGTGTGCTGTTGTAGCTCCACTAGTTTTGTTACTTTTTGACAGAATACACACTAATACTGTGAGTCATTTCAGGAGGAAAAGACAGTGTTTTCTTCATATTAGCAATAAACAAATAAATAGTTCATTAACCGTTTTTGCCTCACAAAGATTTCCGAAGTTAGCTGTTGTTGATTTTCTTTTTGTGAGGGAGTGAGTAAGTTTGATTTCGTCACAGTCTGTCATCGCAACTTTATTATGCACATATCCAAGTTTCGAGGTTCTATTGAAAGCTGGGGAGGTTATTAGCGTCATTTGTGAACACCGAATGCATTGCAATTCCGACGGCCGGCAGTCGGTCTAAGGTTCCAACAACTTAAAATTGGGCACGAGCGCACGCTGCGCGCGGTACAGTCTTGTAATTACACCCCAATTACGTCAATTCACAAATTTTGGTTTTTCGTTTGAGTTAAGTGAGTTTGAAAAAAGTGGATATACATAGAATTATCATCACTTCTGACTCACATGAAGCACAACTTTGTCAACGTTATAGAAGAGCTGTACAGAAACGAAGCGTTTCTCGGTAAAACGACATTAGAAACATTTGCTCCCCAAATTGGGGAGATGGTGATTTTTCCCGCCTGAAATGGCTCACCTTTACACATATAAACAGCTCCACAAAAACAAAATACACATTTTGTTTTGAATTGCAACTCTCCAGTGGTTGAATATATTTTATGGAACACACACAGATAATACGCTTTTATATAATAAATACAAAAGGAAAATCTAGGTAACCTGATATGTAGTAAGGTCCCATTGTTCTCTACGGAAAACATTTTCATCTTCAATGAAGATAGGAACTTCATGGTCTTGAACAGGTTCTGGATCTTTTGAAATTCTAACTACTTTCAAATGTGTGGTGGTTGTTCCAGCTGAAAAACAAATTCAAACATGCTAAATTTAATTTTTTGTGAAGAAGTCACATCTATACTAAAGACAAAACATCCCCTCATGCAGAAATGCCAACCTCATTTCAGCCACGGCTAACACTTGTAAGAAGTCAAATTATCATTCAAGTAAACCGTATTTCAGGTATTTATATGGTTATCAAGTCTTATTTTCACTTACTCGTCATGAAATGAAGCAGTTTAAACATGTAATGAAACTGCCAAATTAATAGCAAAGTTGATATACAATTGGTTTTCTTTTTCTCTACCATATAATTAATAGAAAGAAAATATACAGAACTGAAAGTTAATTAACCGCAGAGCACTGAACTAAGAAAGCAAATGGCAGTAGTGGTCGGGGGGGGGGGTAAAGAACCCATTACTCCCCTCCCCCAAAGCCAACATTTTTTCTCTCAATTTATTCAAAATAATTAACATACATTCGGCTCCGGTTATAGTGAACTTTAGTATTTGGTTCAATTTCACTTATATCCATATCGTCACAGTGCCAAAAATTTCAAGGCAGATTGGAAAAAGTATCGTCTGCCGAAGGTGATAATCGAAGAAATCACCCTTGAGGTGGAGGTACCTGACCTGGAATGGGAACCTATTGGGGAATGGGATGACATTGTGCCACTGTTTCATTGAGGAAAAAAAGGTCGTATCCTGCGTGGGTAATATCCAAGTGGCGGCGGTGACACGCGACTGCTTGCTTCAGTTTCAAGGTTGATATTACTTGAGATTCCGCGGGACAAAGTGCTAAGTGTTCTTTGTACGCGACAAAAAGCGCGCGACTATCACAACCTGGCGACACCTACAGCTACGCGCGGAAAAGCGTTCACTTTTATTAGCCGCTTGCACCATGACGCTGCCGATAGGATCTCGTACTATGTTATTACCACAGACCGGAAATATACGTAGAATGAAACGTCAAAATATGTAATGAAATGATAAGAATATGTAATATCAAAATACACGATTAGTAATAGGAAATTACGTTTTTGGAAAATGTCCTAAGCCAATTTTAATACGTTTTAAAAATCATTTGGCGAGCACAAGTTGGTGCACATTTTGTACCACACATATTTCTCTTGAGTAATGAAAGCTTAATTAATTGCTGGCCAGGAAGGTAGTTTAGCAGCCAGACTATAGATGCAATAGCAGCCCTCGTACAAACTGGCGATATCTACGAACAGCAAACAAACACTGCAGAGTGCAGCATTCTCATCGAAGTGCTACACGCCGGCGATCGCCGAAGTTTCTTGGAAAATAAGGTTAATGATCACGAAACCCAGCGTCAGTGAAAATTTTCACACCTAAAGATGAACATGATGTCAGTCGCTGACGCGCACTTCCCGTCACTGAGGTAACTGAAGCAGGCGCGCTAGACTACAAGAACATCTGACTGCATCTTAACGTAGCACAAGTTCGACTCGTCAGCACTCATGTCAATAATGTAGAACAAATGTCTTATTTAATTGAAAATACTTTATTTCATAAAAAATATGAATAACCTAGAAGAAAATTGATAATATAAAAAATATATATTTTGTGAAAATAGCAAAATGTGTAATATAGTAAAAATACGCAACGAAAAAACTGGATATTTGCCAAGACTGCAGTTTTGTGAACGATAATGTAATTACATAAAAATCCGGACTCTAGTTTCTACGCGAATAAAAGGGCGAATAAAAGTGGGATGGCGCGGCGTTCCAATAGTACAAGAGGCACTGAAGAGTGTCAAGAGTGCGTTACGATACTTAGTGGACAATGCAGAATCGAATATAGAGAGAGAACGAACTCTGGAGAAAGATTTAGAGAAATAACTAATGAAAAATGTGACCAAACAAACAATTTAAAATAATTGATCTCTTAAGTCAAATTAAGATATAAAAATTTTTAATTCATGCTGTCAATGTATTTTGATGCATCTCTAAATTAATGAAATTAATAATTGTGGATAAATAGTATTTAATTTTGACATCATCAAATATAGTGTATTTCTGATATAGTGAACCAAACATTTTAGTCCCCTGAAGTTCACTATAGCCAGAGTCGACTGTAAAGAAATCTCATCACATCCAAAGCTGTATTTCTAATATGAATATTAGTTATTTATTTCTATCTAACAATTAAAAAAAATATTTATGGAGGATCTGAACCCCCCCTTCCCAAAGTACTTCCTGGATCTGCCCCTGGTAAACAGGGTATTATTGTAATGTTGTGAAATAGCTAAAGTGTTTTAAAGTGACAGTAGCAACAGTGCTCATGAACCTGGATTGAGCAAGTGACTGAGCAGGATGAGAATGGTTTGATATAACAAAGGCCAGATACATTACAATGGTGAAGGTGGAAAAGCATACACCTCCCTGCAAACATCTAGATATGAAATACAACAGAAGGTCTCTAGCAATCATATTTGATATGACTAGCTGTTTTACGGTTCTTTGTGATAAACTACATGAAAGTTTTAAAAAAATATTATGGTCAAAACAGACACTAAAGCTGGCTTTACACTCAAGAAAATGGCGAGCAATATTATTTCGCAAGAAAAGTTGCTAATGTAAACATTGCGGCAATAAATATTTCTGATGTCGGCAATATTTCTTGCTAGATATTCCGATCGTAATGTAAACTTGTGTGTTTCCATTCTCGGAAAGATATTGCCAGCTGTTGCTGGATCTAGAATTGGATTGACGTCTCAGCAAGATATTGCTGGAAGAAGCCAATGATGACCACGGTCACATTCGCAGGAAGTATGTGCGGTAGTACATAGACGTAATATTTCCATTTTAATACGCATTTTTTTCGAAAAATGCGTGCAAAAGTTTTACGAGAATAAAAGAAGTAATAAATATTCCTTTGCATCAAAGGTTCAAATTTTGGTTCAGCTATAGATGCCCCCTGATTATTAATTTTTTACGTTAAAAATTATTAAGATATTAATCTAATCTAAATCAATTTTAAGATTATTCTATAACACATCAGTAGTAGGTAATGGACATTTTGAAACTTTTTACCGAATTAGTAATTGCACTTTTTATTAAAAGAAAATTACTTTGCTCCCACGAGAATCGAAATCCACAAAAACATTTTGTTTTATGAAAAATATTGACGCACTTCTACCTAATTCGCACAAGCCTCCTTTTCGTTTCTACATAATAAAGCTAGCTAATCACAAATATAAACAATTTCCAGAACCAGGATGTACCTAATCTCAATCAACCCTGCTTCCGTCACTGAAATTAGTACAAATTTTGCAATTCTAACACGCACTCCCTCAGTTTCCTGTAAGTATGTTTCTCCCTTTCACCAGTCCCTATCCCCTACTCCCATCCATTTACCCCTGACCCATCAATCCATTTTAAGTGGTCCAAAACCGGTCACTCGACCACCTTAGAAAAAAATTCATATTTTGTACATCAATTTCTTTGTTTTGATTGCTCAAAACAATTTTTTTTAGCTTTTAAACTAAAATATGTTGGATTAAATAACTCTGGTCTGCAAATCAAAGTGATATTTGTCTACAGAATATGTTTTTATTCGGGTAATATTTGCAACCAAAACTATAGAATGCGACTGATCAAAATTTTTCCAAAGGATACATTTTCAAAGAAGGAATAGAGTTACAACCTAATTTTTTCTGCACTAATTAAATAACGCTTTGAAAAAGGTCTTTCATTTACAATAAGTAAAAATAAATTATAAAGCAGTAAAGAGACGTATTAATTTTATTTGTGTTATATATTCAAATTTACAAAAATTAAAGTCGGAACTAATTTGCCATGCTGACTGCATCTTCCAATATAATTGAAGCTGATTTCTTTAAGAATAAGGGTGCATAGGGCGAGAGAATATTAAAGGACTGATACGTCAGAATTGTTAGTCTGTTCATAACCAGTTTATATTTCCAACTGATATATCATCTATGTTATCATTTCTCGAATCCATGCGTATAACTTGTGTGGGGTGAGGGTGTGAGTGAGGAGCCATTGAGAGAGGGCCGGAGAAGAGGGGGGGGAAGAAGAGGGGAGTGGTAGGGAGTGTATGCATGCGCTGTGTGATGTACTAAGTGTGTGGTACAATCGTTAAGCTCATTTATAATATTTTTTTTAAAATATGTATCATTTTTTAATTGCAGTATCCTTTCTGTGTATATATGAGTGATATGCTAATGAACAAATGATGGTTTTTGGTATATTTGTAAGAAAACCATTAATACAAAACCCTGGAATGTGGTGTACTACTGATTCAGGGAATTGCACCCCAGTCTTTCATCCACGTAAGATCTTAAGATGAAAAAGTATATTTTAAGCATTATGTATACAAAACAAGAATTATAAGCAACACACATCATACTTTTCATTACAAACTCAGAAATGGTGCCCCTAGGCTTAAAAAACATTTTCGTGTTCCTGCAGGGACAGAAGTTTTATGAGAAAGAGTTCTGTGGGGACATGAGTTTTGAATGTATGGGTCAGGGTCAAAGTGGGGCAATGAACGATGGAAATTCGGGGACAGGTGGTGAAATAAACGTGGGAACAGGCCAGCGGCAGGGGGAACCAAATTATGTTCTTAAGCAGTATTCTACAAAATGAGATTTTACTTTTATAATTTTGAATTTATGTCTGCTTGAGTGACCTCCCAAATAAGTGGTTCAAAAAGAGGGCATACATGCTGAAATATCTGTAAATGAAATTGAACAGGAAAAAACAGAAATAATCTTTCTTCGATAAAATAATAGCGACTATTTGATTATCTGAGTAATTTAATTCTCATTCCTTAGTGATATTAGAACGGTTCTGTCACACAGTGCCGTAGTACAAATGCTTCTAAAGTTGAGTAACGACCTCTGAAGCAATTTTAGTTTTAAAACAATTCTTTACAAAAGGGCAAAGTTTTTGCACAAGTCCAGTAAAGTTGTCTGTAGTACATAGAAACAGTAAAGGCAACCCAGAAAACATTTTATTATTCACTTCAACTTGTGTATCGATTTTTGCTTGTTCAATTGTCATCGGAGCAATGTGTTGCAACATAGTATCCGCATGAAAGTTTCGTAAGTTAACTGCTGAAGACTTGAACACCTGATGAAATATAATTCCTACACTGTATTTTACTGATATAGGTGCTTTACCATACGTAATTTGAATTTGGTAAAATATTATAAGATTATCGGCAACCTTTACCCAGTAATCCACGTATTACCTGATAAGGTGCCATACTTCACGCACGTTCTTCGTCATAAAAGCAGTCTGTTGAACACAGGCACAGGAATGTTATTTACCTATGGTTATCATATCTAATACATGTGTGGTAAACGGCTGATTCTGT